TGTATAAAAAATGATCGAACTATTTTTGTTATCTATGAATATGGAAATACACATGTACTTTATGGACAGCATTGAATAATCGTTAATTGAGATCGGACACGAAGGGGGGTCGTGATACGTTCAAAAGAAATTTAACGAAACTGTCGTTTATTTTCTCTGCCAATTCACGATGGAACCATTTAAAACTTTATTTGATCAACAATAACGCAGAATTCGTCGTTTTTATAGATTAAAAAGTGTCACATTTTCTTCATTATTTCTATAGCAGATACCTTCCAGTCACTTTTATCTAGAGAAACTACAATCGAAAATAACCAAATTTGAAATGAAAAATTATTGATATCTCATTCATTCTTGATTAATAAATCTTTTTTAATGGTAATATTTGCACAAGGAAATATATTAATATTTCTATCAGTTAAGGATTATTAGGTTTTGTATTAATGTGCTGTAAAAATGTAAAAATGTAAAAATGTAAAAATGTAAAATTGTAAAAATGCGTTTTTTTATTTTCTGAAATCCGAGTGCAAATTAAAATTAAAATAGCAACAATGTGCTTGTCTGTATTGTTACCATTTTGTGCACTAGCTGAAGTGCACGGCGTTGCCCAGGGTACTCCTAGTTACCCCCGCCGTTTACCCGCGCTTGGCCGTAAATTATGGCTTAAAATATTTTACCATTTTAAAGTGGACCCACTAAACTTAGAATCTCTAAATCAAACTAAGACCATTCCCGTGGTTCTCCCGAGTTTCCCAATCGAAATTTGAGACAAAACGAATAAGAGGCTTGAGTTATGATCGGACCTAAATAAAACAAACAGGGACAAAAACATACAATTTTTATTTTATAGATATTTCATGATACGCATAAAAACATCAAAATAAGAATTACAACAAAGTTACCCGAGGTACTTTACATTCAAGGTGTTGATTCCTTGACAAATTGTTTCTATCTTCTTGTATATTGTACAATTGCTAAATCATTTAGAATCACATTGTTCCATGCTTCTGAAATGTCAAAGAAAAATGAAAGATAATCATTGAAATTTTAAATCTAAGAGTAATTTAAATGTCGTCTTGGTTTGGCCTAAGCTTTATACAAAGCCTCGTTTTTTGAGAATTTGATTCGATTAACGTTCAACGAAACGAGCCAATTGAATGTTACAAAATCATAATGCAGATTCGTTTATTTTATTCTTTAGGCTTTTTATAGATCTCTAAACGATCGTTTGAACAATTCAACCATTCATAAATTTTGCGATTTCTGATCCTTCGAATTTTCATTTATTCCTTCGCCCTCTTAATAAATAAGATCCTTGTTTCAAATTTTCCTTCAATTAAATGTCCGTTAAATAAAATTTTCCTTGAATTCTCTATTGAAATAGTTAAAATGAAAGCGTATTTTTTGTGGCTCCTAAGGGGTCGAGCTTTTCGAAAAATCCAGAAAGACAAAGAAGAAAATTGTTAGATCTAAGTCAAGCATTGTTTTGTCCAAATAGGTTGTCAAGTACAATAGATGGCGACAGAAAAATCGACCAACTGCGCACAACGTCATGTGTCAAATGAAAAAGAAAGACGACATTTCCTCTAATTAGTTGGTATGATTTCCAAGATTCGGGGGAGATAAATGTCGTCTTTGTAGGAATATGTAAAAAATATTTACAACTCAAAATTAGATAGAATATTTTACTGTCGTTTGGTGGCTTAATTTTTTTTTCTCTGTATATCTATGTAAACTAAATAATCTGAGGGAGGGGGGCGGGGAGGCGTCCAGGCCCCAGCCCCCTAAGTAGCATTAAAGTAAATATGTCTAGGGTTATTATAGGTTTACTGTTCAATTTCTAAAGCCAGCTAAATTAAAAAAAAAATTTAGACTTCTAACTTTTTGAAACACTCATACTTTATACGAATTTTACAAAAAATCATTTGGATTACCTTGTTTTAAAAGTGACAAAGTTTTGGTGGTTTACACATTATATCATAAACAACAACAAAAAAAACAATAATACAAATACAAAAATATTTATTTAAACATAAATTGACATTTTTGTTTTAAATTTCGTATCGTGTGATGACCAATTGTTTGTTTACTAAAACATTTAGATGCTTTATTCTTTGGAAAAAACGTATTTTTACAAAAAGGTTGATAATGGAGATCTTGGTTCTTTTACAGTTATTGATGGGATTGCAGAGGATAAGAGAAATTTCCTTGCAGAAGAGATTTCTGGAAATTTCGAAAAAGTCCTCAAATTTGGCTTAAAATCAGACTTAGCAAAATGAAGAGCACACACTCGGCTATCTCCGATTTCATTAGTGTCGTCAATTTTCAAAGAATTCAGCCATAATTCCTGCTTCTTTTTATTCTTTGAAAATTTAAATGTGGAAGTTCCAGGGGGTGGACGGCATCCAGGCACAAAACATGTTCTTCGCCTGCCCCCTAAATGAAAAAATATAACCAATGAAGACCAAAAATATCATTTAATTCATAATAATGTAATGTTTACTTAGTATATGTTAATATTACACCTTTAAAGTACCCCCCCCCCCCCACCTTGATGGATTTAAAATAAATAAAAAAATCTGTCGTTTTTAAGAAAACAAATCACACAGACATCCATATTGCGAAATTTAAATATAATATACATATTATCTCACAAAACACTTTGCAGATCCAAAATTTTGGCTGCAACAGATAACTTACATAAAATGTACGAAAATTTGTGAATTATTTGGTTATTTATGAACAAATGAATATAGGTAAAATCAAAATTTGACAAATCTGGGAAATCAATTTTTCGGCTCATGCTCCATAATTTAAGAAGTGATTGTAATATAAACAGAATAAACAGAAAGATAAGCACTTTAGTCTAAAAATTATCACTTTTATTTATAGTTTTGTAAGACAGAAAATTTGAGTTGACACTTATGACGTTTAAACAGCTGTACTGAAAGTGTACGCAATCTGTGTTGCCGTCAATTGTACTTGACAACCTATTTGGTTTTGTCTATTATTCAAAGTTCAAAAAATAAAGATAAATAATGAAATGTTTCCTGTTCAAATGATTGCTTTCATAATTTGAAATTAATAAAATGTTTATATATTGAAATGTTCTATTTTTAATTGTTGTAGATGCTAATGAACTATTTTCAATTTTTCTATTTTGAAATATTTTATAAATGAAATAATAATGTATTAACCCTATTCCTGTTGGGAGGGGGAGGGGGTGAATTTGCCCCCCCTGTAGTTTTTTTTTACATAACTCAAAAGGTATTGGTCTGAGGCTGTTGAAATTTTTTGACTTTTCCTACATACCCGCAGCCCTCCCTTTAGGCCTAAAACCGGGATTTAATACTAACTGCCTGAGTCTTCAGGCACACTTCCTGAATGACTGTTTCCTGTAACAAACTAAATCTTTGTTTTGACCCACTTTCACTTGTCAGATTTTGATAAAATTTAGTTTTTTTAGAAAACCTGTCATAGGAAATTTGCACATTTTAAGTTTTTCTTAATTAAACATCAGGTTTTTTTCAAAACTTTTGCATATTTAAAATGGTATGGTCAAGGGCTTTTCAAAAATGTATAATTTTTCATTTTTTGGACAATTTTTTTTGTGCAAACATTTTTACTACATAACTGGATTTTGCGATAAAAAATTCAATTTGTGTAGATTTGCAATTTTTTTTGCAGATTCTAAAAGAGCTTTCCAATGATGTATCATTTGTCATATTTGGACATCAAATATGGGATTTAGAGGGGGGGGGGGGTCAAATTGACCCCCCCCAGCATATCCTGGTTTTCAAGTACCCCAGCAGGGATAGGGTTAAAATGTTCCTTCATTAAAATGTTCATAAATTGAAATGTTCTTTCATCAAATTATTTATGTATTGAAATGTTCATATATCGAATGGTTCATATCATGGTTCTTTTATTGAAACGTTTAAATATTGAAATGTTTCATAAATGGTGGTAGGCGATTATATCAATTTTATGATTACAACTCTTTAATTTACTTTTTTATCTACTGAATTACAAGATTACAGGTAATTAAAAAAAGCTTCTTATAATTCACACCTTCCCTGTTTTAGCCCTGTTTTAGTGTGTCCACACCTGTTAAAAAGATTATAAATATCAATTAAAATTGAAATCGAAAGTAGTCGTCATTATATTAATAAAATCGGCTAACACCGTAAATAAAACGAAATTCCATATATTGAAATGTTCATATATTGAAATGTTCGTATATTGAAATATTCATATATTGAAATATTCATATATTGAAAAGTTCGTATATTGAAATATTCATAAATTAAAATGTTCGTATATTAATTTGTTCATATATTGAAATGTTCATATNTATATCTAATTGTCCTATATCTAATTGTCCTATATCTAATTGTCCTATATCTAATTGTCCTATATCTAATTGTCCTATATCTAATTGTCCTATATCTAATTGTCCTATATCTAATTGTCCTATATCTAATTGTCCTATATCTAATTGTCCTATATCTAATTGTCCTATATCTAATTGTCCTATATCTAATTGTCCTATATCTAATTGTCCTATATCTAATTGTCCTATATCTAATTGTCCTATATCTAATTGTCCTATATCTAATTGTCCTATATCTGATTGTCCTATATCTATTTGTCCTATATCTAATTGTCCTATCTATATTTCTGTTCAGTTTTACAGTAAATCCACACAATTGTGAAATAGGAAGAAGGCGACGTTTAGCGTCAAAATGTGATATCAAAGAATAGCTACTGGACATGAAACACAGCAATTGTGCAATGTTCACAGTTACGCAAATTTAATTATTTTCATTTCAAGTTACATGGTTAATTACATAATTAAGGATCCTTGTTGCTATTCCTTATAACAACATCTGATAGATATAATGGTTTAAGTATCGTCTTCCTTTTCCACAGTTTTATGGGTATCACTGTAGCCATATATAAACTGATTCTTTCTCTCTGACCTAATGTTTAATTCGCACTTGGCAGACAGACAATTTTATTTATTTTTTTATTCACAAATATGTTTGACATTTATTTCAATCCTGCGTCTCACCACTGTTGGCTGAATTTGTAATGCATTGTAAATACAATTTAAAATGTATTTAGTTGCAGAAGTATATATTATTAAATGTTCGACAATTTTTATGTTTTGCTTCCTGTTTTGCGGCAAAAGAAATGATTTCTCAGAATGTAATAAAATTATAATTATGATTTCGCCCTTAAAGAGAGTGTCTGGCTAGACATGGTGGGCAGGCGACACAACATGATGGGAGCGGTACGCGTGACCGGCTTGTAGTGGCCGAGCACGCCTACTTAGCAGGTTGTGATGCTGTATGCCTGCCTGTCGGGTTGGACAATCCATGAGGATTTAAATGATTGAATTTTCACTCTTTTTGAACAATTATATGCCGTACAAACGTCTTGCAGGCCTCAAATTATTTATAAAACATTTCTCTATAATATTGCATTCTCAGCTCAACTAACATGTCTAGAAAGACACTCCCTTTAAAGATCCATTGCACTCATGTTAATATATTTCTCATTTGATGAAGTAAAGTTTGATGACTAACTAGAAATTAAGCATATCATCAAATGTTTGGTTCAGCTCGTCGCTAATTTTCTTGATTCGCATTTTCTCCGCCAGGAAATCTTCTTCAACTTGATCAATCCTGATCACAGAGATGGAATTTTCACATTTATTACATTTTTTAAGGGATTTTTTACCCGATTCACAACGAAACCCTTTAAACTTCAACTTAGAAAACATTATATGCTTCTTCACGGGCAGCCGTAGTACATTCAAATTTCCGAGCCGGGTCCCAGTTTGTACTGTATCGCATGGACATTGGGTTAATAAAGCAGACCCTCAATAGGAGTAGCAAGTGCAAGAAGGTTGATGCGGCAAGACTTTACAATTTACTTTTACTGAAGGGTCAGAGATGCGTGACGTGGTTGTTTTCAATTGTGAGGTCTTCATCAAAAAGACTTGCGGATAGAAAAATTGTCTGAACTCCATTCTTTTCAAGATAGAAAACAACGATATATTTCTCTTTGTTACTCAGTTGAAAGATTACTGTTGTTAATTCAGTATGTACATGCTTTTAAATTGGAGGATCACTTGACATTACACTTACAGTCCCTTTAAGGACAATTGAAGAACTTTAGGATTTCGCAAACAAATAAACAAATTTACAGAAAAGGGTATAGTTTTCCAGAAAGTTTTTGGTTTTGATAATTTTTTTTGTTGTAAAGTTTTTGTAGTTAGAATCTAGGTGACAACTTATAGATTAAACCCTTGGAAATACAACATGATACCATAAAATTGAAAACATCAGTTTAAAGCTGAACACCATAAAATACAACAACGCTTCAGTTTCCAAATTTATGTCGACCATTGTTTTAAAAGTTATTGAAAATACGTACTTTGCACTAGTCAACCTGTAAAAAGGGGAATAATAAATAATATTATGATTTTTTTTCATATCATTTTTCATGCTGCTCTGTCCACCGCCCGATGCACAAACCAAAATTAGCTTGACAATTTTTTGTCCATCCGTAGTGGTCGGCCCTGCACCCCCTCCCTCGTCGTGACTTCATTTGATTTTATAGATTTTTTAAAGAGATTGGGGGCTGTTTAAAGGTTTTATGTTAAATTCCAACTATTCCTGACATTCAATCGTTGAATATTCATTGTAGCCTGTTCATCTCTATATTCAGCTGCTTTCAATTTCACCTGAAGAAAAGTAAAAAATTCGATTTTAAAAATTGTATTTTTGTTTCCTTATATACAATCATATCCTTTATATAGCTAAACTAATATTCATGCATCAAATTCAATTAGTTTCGATGTAAGTAAAGAATTCTATTTTGTCGTTGCCGCTTATTTACATATGGAATATGACAAGGCTATAATGCAAGGAAAGTTAATTGCAGTTGCGTATACTCTGCGTACATATTGAAACCAGTCCTCTCTGGGCGGAATTTGTAAACAAGAATAGATGTGTCAGTGTTCGTTTAGTATCCGAGCCGGTTAAAAGCATCACATTTAGATAACTTTGATAATTCACATAATAGTTTTCTATGACCAGAATATTTCATTGATTTTTTATGTAACAGATGAATCCTATGGCAGAATTCGACATCTTTCTTGTGTTTACATTACCGCCCAGAGACAGTACACTGCAGTATATAAAAGATGTGTACACCTCTGAAATAACTTTCCTTGCATTATAACCCTCTCTCCCTCCCTCACCTCACCCCCCTCCCTCCCTCCCTCACCTCACCCTTGGGATTATAAGATTTGAATAGACATACAGATAGAAAGATAGATCTTGTCACCTTAGAAATACTTTCAAAATTGTCAGGCTGTGGTTAACACAACGTTAGAATTTCTTTATAGTAAAACATGATGTGGTATTGGTATCACTGTCAACAAAGATGTATCAGATTTCTCAAAGTTTTATAAGCTTTTTTTGAGTTTCTTTGAGATCTTATTGGAACTTTTATGTGGAGTACTCTTAATCTTAAACACTTTATCTTGATATCTAATGTAGACACTTTTTGATTTCAGTATAAACGCTAGCTTTCCCAATTTAAAATAAGCCTGCAGGGTATATTAAAGAGGAATTAAATTAATACAAACGTAAAAAAAAGGATTTAATCCAATGCACAAGAAAACTGAAAGGCTTAAAATGAGTAATTAAGGTGGGTGTAAATATTTGATATATGATTTATAACCTGAAGATCAACAATCTGAATTTGTCTTCCCTCCTCCCTACTCCTGCTCTTCTCCTCTCCAACCTCTAGATGCTGAAGATTGTTTCCAACAACCTTCAATTCGTCTTCCAAATCCTTAATACAAGTATACATTCTACTATTCAAAACAGATACACCAACCCCTGAATTAACGCAAAACATGTTCTGTACTTTCAGGAGGGCTGGCCATCTGTGCACACTGAACTAAGCTGGTGAGGTAGGTCAAATAGGCCTTTGATAGGGCAGTTACTGTAAAAATCTGGCCGCGCCATCAAGGCTGAAACCAAGCTGGCATAGGATAGGGTTGGGCCGGTACTTGACGCGCATCAGAAAGACCGGTACATAGGGGTCGGGCCAGTTTAAATTGACTCTTGTCCACAGTGCAGTCTTTTCAGTCTAGCTGTTCTTTCTTAATTTTGATTTTCAGTACCATTGACAGGTTTTTCCATAGATAAAGATAGATTGCCCATATGACGACATTTTTCATCTTGAAAGATATAAATGTAGAGAGATGTTTTAAATATATTCCTATTATATAGATTAACTAGGTCGGTTGTGAACATTGGCTGCTCTTATGTCATTGAGTACTTGTGGTGTACATGAGTTCTGTAAAAAGAAATTTAAATTAGTTTAGTCCTTCTCATGTCCTCCTCCAGTTCTCGTCAATATGATATATTGCTCAGTGAAATAATTTGATATTCTCAAAATAAAATTCACTCCTGAGTGGTTTAATAATTATGAAATCCATTAAAACACCAAACCACCCCGCTTATCATTGAAGTAAACTTTGACCCCTAGAAGTATGAGTTCGCAGACTGTACAATTCTTGGTGATTTTGCGTACATAAGCTATCCATGTTTGTTTATTTATCTATGGGTTTTTCAATTTTAATTAATCCATTACTTTTAATACATAATGCCCATGGCCCGGATTTGTTTCAATTCATTTATTAATGATTTGTAAAATTAAGCTCTAATTAGTCGTTTCTTTGTCACTAAAAGGGTATATTCCGTATGGTGTACTGTCCTGTTTTGCAGTTTATTAGTCTCTATGTGTAAAATCAAATTGCTGAAGTTGCCTAAAAGTTAGTACATTTTTTTTTTCAACTGAATCAAATATTTTTTGCCCAGCACACAAATTTGACACATCCATGCAATTGCACGGGTATTTTCCTTGCAGCCAACATTTATAAAATAATTCAAATGATACTTCTTGTTTATAGGATTATCCATTAAATTCCAATAAGAATGAGAGTTATGGAAAACATTTGTTTACCATTATTTTCTTCTCTGCACCGTCAGCTCTCTCGTTTCCTCTCTGTCCGTCTGCCTCCAGTGTCGCCATTTTCCTAGAGATATCCTCAAACTTGCGCTCCGACTCTGTATGCAGGAATACAGCATCCTTCAGCTGTTTCTCCAAATTATCTATCCCCTCCTCATTAGAGCTGTTGGCGTTCTCTAATTCATGCCGCTTCTTTACGCAGTTATCCGCCTTACGGCACGCTCCAGCTAGATCTAGGGTTGCTTTAGCTAACCTCTCCTCTTGGCGCTCAGTGTGCTCTTGTAACAGGATTAATCTGGATCTAAGACCAGACACCTCTCCTTCTGCATTACTGAAACAAATATTATTACAGTGAGAACCAGAAGAAAGTGGAGTTTTTATCATTAGATTTTTACTTTAACCATCTATATATAAATTTAGCTTGTCTGTTTGTCTGTTTGGGTGTCTGTCTGTCTGTTTGTATCCAATAAACGTCAAAACGGCTGAACCGATCGGGCCCAATTTTTTTGTGGGACATCTAGGGACCCCAGGGAAGGTTTATGAATGATTGAAATTTTAAAAATTTGTGTTTAAGAGGTTTTTAATTTTGTAAAAAATTTAAATTTTTGAAAATCCGCGAATTTTTTTTAAAAAATCTGCAAAACTTTTTCATCTTTGTTTTGAAATGTAAACAATTCGAACATGTTCCTAATTTAAATAGAAGATGGATGCGAAGCGCCCTAAATGCCTAGAAAGAAGGGCGCGAAGCGCCTTGAATTTCTAGTAAATAAATAATCGATCACAACTGACAACATGGCCACTGTTAAAGATGCATGGGCATCGTTCACGCAAGAAACACCATTTTTGAGAACACACTAATTTTTCCTGAATGATAGTGTCGTTCAGAAATAGTTCCAATATCAATTTTTATTTGTGTTTTTCTTGTTCTGCATATCGTTTCATGAAGGATATCCAGATCTAACAAATCCCATTTCTTGCTGATCCCGAAGATTTCTAAAATATTCTTGCATAGGTGTACTTTCTCATATATCTTTCATCTCTCCCCCTCCCTTTTCTCCCCTCTGTCCCCCTTTCCACCTCTCCCCCAATACTTTTTCTTCTTTAACAAGTTCTAATTTAGCCTTCAAAACTTGAAAGTGCATATGAGCAAGTCAAGTTGTCCAATTAATCCCTTGAATAAAAATGAGCCTAGGATGCTATGGACACTTTTACTTTTTCTTCAGGACATTTGAATACACATCACTAACATGAGTACACATCACTAACATGAGTACACATCACTAACATGAGTACACATCACTAACATGTGTACACATCCCTTACATGAATACACATAATTTACATGATTACACATCGCTTACATGTGTACACATCACGCGGGAAAGTTGTACTTTTATAAAAAGTATATTAAAACTGCTGCAGGTAGAGATGGGCATAGTTTTCTTGAACTAACAACATTTTTGTGAACGAAAGAATTTTTTTGTGGAAAAGGGTGTCGTTCAGATAAAAAAGAACAATTGACAAACAAAATTAAATTTTCAGAGAAATGAAAAATAACCATTTAAAAAAACAAAAACAAACGATTTAAAGTTATTCAAACGAACTAACGATTTAATCGGACAAACCATTTTACAGAAAGAACAATTTTACTGTACAAAAGATGTTACTAAGCGATCGTTTAATGAGAAAACAAAGGAAAATAAAGAGATAATTTTGAGAAAGAGCACACTCTTTTTCATTTTTAACGATTGAGAAAACTAATGAAATAAGTCGTTCACAAACAATGAACAAACGAAATGGCAAAAAGTACATTAAAGGTTTGAATGATGAAATGGGGGCCAACAGAATAGAACAGGATAGGGGGCCGGGCGCTGTGGTTCGGACAGACTTGAGAAGTTACCATTTGGGAAATAGCACATTTGGGAAGTTGCCACTCGGGAAAATGTCTTTGGGAAGTACCGCACATCTTGTACTTTCATCTCATTTATGTACTCACCTTAATTTCTTTTCAAGTTCTTCAAGTTTAATGGTTTGATTAAACAGATCTTCTGTACATGCATCAAACTGCCCTTCCATACTTTGTATCTTCTTCTGTACATTCCTGTACATAAATATTAATATATTGCTGTACAGTGCAAAAGCATCAAACAGTCCTTACAAATAACTTTGTACCTTCTTCTGTGCATTCCTGTACACACATTTTTATATTGCTATACAATCAAAGGGACTATAAACGTATTTTCAAGTGATCCTATATTTTAATGATTGGCAGGTTAGATTCACAATAATACCCTTAAAACATTTCCCATTTTTACGCCTTGATCAAGTATGAAAAGGTCATCATTGTGAACATGCTTTTCAATAAAAACGTGTAATTTTGCACTATAAAAAGTGTAATTTGATTTTTTACTGTACGTAAACTTTCGCCAATAATACAACAATGATAAGCCTTGCAACTAATACACATCTAACTATAATAAGGAAGCAATGTCATATTTACAATCTAAATTCTTTCGTACATTTTGAAAGATCGAGAACCTTAAACGTACTGTTAGCATAATTTCCAATCTAAGAGGACAAAGCCCAATTCACAACGGCAAGTATGAAATAGATATCAATGTTTAAAATTTAGAAAAATGATTATTTTTTATTGAATTTTCTCTACAAAAGTGAATTGCGCATTTCTACTGCTGGAAAACATGTTAAAGGAATTATAAAATTTAAACACCTTTAAACATATATAAAAACTTCAATATCTTCCACACTATTGATTAGATAAAGGTTTCTAGGGTACCGCTGTGAGTCGGACATTGCCATAATGGAGGGTTCCTTCAAATTTCACAGTCCATTTGAAGGAGGTGATAAAAGCAAATAATCAAAATTAGAAACCCATCATAAGTAATTCAATGGCCAACCTCAACTGTTCCTCAAACTTCTCAGCTTCAAGCTCATTCTTGACCTTCAGATCTTCATAGGCAGCAATCCTAGTTTCCGCTGCTGCAGTCTCATTCGCCAACTTCTCCATTTTCTTCTTTATACTATCCATATTATTCACTGCAAACCTGAAATTATGCAAGTTAGGTGGCTAAATTGTGCTTAATTTAAGAAAATATTCATTTAGAGATAAATTAGATACAACAAATTCTTTTCTTTTCTTATGAAAAAGAAAGAAAAAAGCCAATATTCACATGATACATTTGAAGAAAACCAACTGCTTATTGGGACACAAGAGGTCAATTAATAAATAGCTAAAACTGTTTTAACTGATTTATAAAAAAGTGGTTTTACAAACCATGCCCAGCTCAACTTTTAATTAATCTTGACCTCTGGGATCTTTATTTTCTAAAAAAAACAAGGAATCATAAATTTATTTTTAAAAAAAAAATTTTAAAAGGTGAGTGAGTTAGTATTTGTGCAATGACTAAACTATTACTGGAACTGTAAAAGACATGAAGTATAAACTTGATATAAATGTTGACTGTGCTGAACGGTATATGCTGACCGATACACAATTCTTCAAGCAACTCAGGCAGCTACACAGGGAAGTGGGGGAATACTTCATTATTTAGGGTCCTGAAATACTTATTTTTATTAATAACATGTACTTATTTTCATCAATGTTGGGCCATGCCACAAACTCAGATTTTCTAATCCCTCTATCTTTGCATCCCAATGGCATAGACCTTAGATATTCTTTCAGTTAATATAAGTTTAAATGATGAAAAAAAATCCATCACATTTAAAAGACATAGGGATTAGTACATTTGATACTTAATTTCTTTTAGAAAGGCCAAGGAATAGATATTTTAGGGCCCTGAAATTGGTATTTTAGTACCCTGAGATTAGTATGTTAGGGCCCTGAAATTGGTATTTTAGTACCCTGAGGTTAGTATGCTAGGGCCCTGAAATTGGTATTTTAGTACCCTGAGGTATGTTAGGGCCCTGAAACTAGTATTTTAGTACCCTGAGATTAGTATGTTAGGGCCCTGAAATTGGTATTTTAGTACCCTGAGGTTAGTATGCTAGGGCCCTGAAATTGGTATTTTAGTACCCTGAGATTAGTATGTTAGGGCCCTGAAACTAGTATTTTAGTACCCTGAGATTAGTATGTTAGGGCCCTGAAATTAGTATTTTAGTACCCTGAGATTAGTATGTTAGGGTCCGGAAATTGATATTTTAGTACCCTGAGATAAGTATGTTAGGGCCCTGAAATTGGTATTTTTGTACCCTGAGATTAGTATGCTAGGGCCCTGAAATTGGTATTTTAGTACTCTGAGATTAGTATGTTAGGGCCCTGAAATTGGTATTTTAGTACCCTGAGATTAGTATGCTAGGGCCCTGAAATTGGTATTTTAGTACCCTGAGATTAGTATGCTAGGGCCCTGAAATTGGTATTTTGGTACCCTGAGATTAGTATGTTAGGGCCCTGAAATTATTATTTTACTACCCTGAGATTAGTATGTTAGGGCCCTGAAATTGGTATTTTAGTACCCTGAGGTTAGTATGCTAGGGCCCTGAAATTGGTTTTTTAGTACCCTGAGTTTATAGTATGCTAGGGCCCTGAAATTGGTATTTTAGTACCCTGAGATTAGTATCTTAGGGCCTTGGAATTGGTATTTTAGGTCTCTGAATTTATTATTTTCGGTCCCTAGAATCGGTAATTAAGGTCCCTGGATTCTGGAATATGTATTCTAGGTCCCTGGAATTTGTAATTAAGGTCCCTGGAATATGTATTCTAGTCCCATGGAATCGGTATTTTAGGTCCCTGGAATATGTATTCTAGGCCCCTGGAATTGGTATTTTAGATCCCTGGAATTCGATATTTTTGGTCCCTAGAATTGGTAATATAGGTCCCTGGAATATGTATTCGAGGTCCCTGGAATTGTTATTTTAGTTCCCTTAGATTGATAGTTTATGGTTTTTGGAAGGGGGGTCTAAACGACAGATACAAATCTAAATAAATCCTCCAAATAATCTGTCATGTGATAGAAAATTGAAGCTTGAAAAATCACAAGAGATAAAAATATAACAAGAATTTATTTCAGAACTTTATAAACGATGATAAAGATATTTTCTTTTTTCTGTTTAAACAGGGAACTGAGCATGTTTTAATATTATAACTTCGCACGTTAAAAAAAGATGAGAACCTGAAAAGATTGTTTCCCTCTCCCCCCCCCCCCCCCCCCCCCACCACCTAATCCTTAATAAATTTGGGCCCTGAATACAACAAAAAAGAATTTTCCGATTTCCAGGGCTCTTCACAAGCAATCGATCATAGGTTGAAATATAAATTTCAAATTAATGTTATTCGACTTTCGATATTTCTTCATTTCTATTTTAGGTAAATATATTCTATAAAAAAATTTCTAAACACATATTATATTAAGATCAATATTAATATTTTTTTTGGAGACCTCGGTATTTTTTTGAAGTGTGATTTTAAAAAATTTAGATTGTTATAGACTTTTAGTTAAATACTGAAATTTTTGCTGTACATTGTACATTTACTGTACAGTACACTATCACATTATGTACTTGAGTCCAGTGCAAAGTACAAAGAACATTAAAGCTTTATTATTATGTTGAAGAAACTATATAAATCCCTGCAGTTATACGTGAAGATAATTTATCTAAATTTAAAAGTTCCGTCAGATTAAAGAATCTTGTTGATTTCAACATTGACAAAATATACCTGTCATGTGTGACCGCCCTTCACATCTAATACAGGCTGATTTAAAAAAATTTGATTTTGATTTTTCTAAAATTTAGTTGAAAAATAAACGAAAATTGCTCGGATTATTATTTTGATACTAGCTTGGGAACCCAGCTTTGCCTTATAACTAAAAAACTGTTAAACCTAGGTAGGAACATTCCCGGGTGGTTCTTCAGAGTTCATCAATTAAAATTTGAGGCAAATCGGTTGTGAAGTTTCTGAGTTATGGGCTGACATACACACAAAACAGAGAGTATTACTTTATATATATATAGATTTTCAAAACGGAAACATCATAAAAATTGAAATTTAAAAATTTACGAGATTAAAAAACTCCCCGATAACGGATAAAGCGGCATCAGCACACTCTTAGAAATATAAAATAAATTAAACATTTTTTAATTACAAAATATTTGTTAGAATTTTAATAGGATATGTGGGAAACGGAATCTCACTATTTTTTATATAGACTTTACTAAGTGTTTTAGAATTTTGTTAAAAAACATTTTCATATTTTAATTATTTCAAAGTGATTTATTTCATTTAATATTGTTTGTTTCAGCCGTTTTCAGGATTTACTTTTATATAAATTATGTTTGATGGATCATGGTGCTTTAACAGTTATTTAACAGAAATTTTGGATCTGAAAAAGGAAAATGTTCTTATATATTTTTTGCATATAGAAAAGGCTGGAATTTCTTGCTAATCCTTGCAAACACGGGAAATTAGTTCCAAAACTAACATTGACTGCTAGAAATCGGCCAAATCTGTAAAGTTATCTTTTCCAAGCTACATATCTTTAAATCCAAGCTATATAAGCTATATAAGCTATATATCTTTAAATCCAAGCTATATAAGCTATATAGGCTATATATCTTTAAATCCAAGCTATATAAACTATATAAGCTATATATCTTTAAATCCAAGCCGAGTTGAACAAAACTACACCATACATTTATAAAAACTATATATTGAAACAAAAAATGTCAATTTTAAACTAATGTTAAGGTGTGAAAACTCTTTTTTTGGTGATACTTGATTTCATTTTCGAACAAATCCCTATTCTGAAAAAACAACCACATTTAAGCTCATGTTGCGTTTTGAAACATATCTTGGTTTTGAGGCAATTTACATCAATGTGAACTTTAAAAATTTTACACACTTACGTATTACTTGTCACGATGATACAGACAGAGGCACATGACAATGATACTGCGCTGCCATTGGTGGGAGTTCTGGTCACGTGATACGGACGTATTTATTGTAATATCAATCATATCTATTAAAATTGAAAAATTATAAAATTCAATTAATAATAGGAGCAAATCTAAGTTTTTCAGGCTCCTCTGGAATATCGTCGTTTTCAGATTGGTTGCGTATTTGCTTAATATGATCTGTTTAAACCTACGGTTTTTTATCAACATTTTATAAATATAAACTTTATATCAATTTCTTGAGACAGGAACATCAGATAGAAATTCTTTGAGCTAAAATTAAAGCATTGTCTTCTTTCTTGAAGTTTTAAGATACAAGAATGTATCAAAGCTCCGAAACAAATGGAACCGCGTCCTGGTATGATAATGTTTGGCAAACATTGCAAATCCCGTGAATTATTGCAAATCTACTGTATCGAATCTGTGATCAGAGAGAAATTTGCAATTTAGGAATTTCATGCCAATATTAGAATTCAAGATTTGCATGTATCGGGGTTAGATTGGTTAGACATTATATAGGGTTAGATTGGTTAGACATAATACAGGGTTAGACATTATACAGGGTTAGATTGGTTAGACATTATACAGGGTTAGACATTATACAGGGTTAGACATTATACAGGGTTAGACATTATATAGGGTTAGACATTATGCAGGGTTAGACATTATACAGGGTTAGACATTATACAGGGTTACCCAGACAAGTGTTGAGTTTAATTACAAACTTGAAGTCTTTTCAGAAACTGTTTTTATAACTTTAACTGACCCAACGATCAACGAGATGTAAGTCCTATGCACAACAGTAACCTTTCACTCTTTTTTTGATCAATAATATGAAAGATAAAGTCATTTATATACAGCCAATCTCACATATAAGAATACATAGCAAGAACACATGAAATGTCTTCTGAAAAGCTGCTTCGATGTTCGCAGCTTCAAAGGATTGAATACGATTTGTGAAAATATATCCAAATATCATTGTAGAACGTCATAAGTTTTCTGATAATTTTTAAGTAACTGCTTTATTAATTTTAATTCAAGGTAAATTAATAGCCCTGAAATATCAAAAACAACAAATAATTATTAAACTCGTTTTTTTCGCGGCATTTGATCTTAAACATGTTGAGAATA